AGAGAGAGAGGAGTGTACGAGAGAGATGAGCTGGGTGAGGTTTAAATAGGAAAATTTTAATAATAAAAAATTAAAATGTGATTGATGATGAGCTGCTTAGTCTCATTTTGCGGTGCCGTCTTCTTTGAAAAAAAAAAAGAAGAGAGAGAGAACGTGATGAGAGGTAGCTGATGGGGTTTGACGCGGGAAACATTAGCTTGGAGTATTTTTAAATAGTTTCAGGTATTTAAACGAAAATAATTAAAATAAATAATTTCGGGTACTTAAAAATTAAACTAATTACATAATAATTATCTACAAATAAAAACGTACATGTTGAGCTAATACAACAGTTGATACGAAACTGTCGAAATATACCTATATTGTACAATTAAAAGGAAATAATTAATAATAAAAATATATTTACTTACATTTAAAATCAAATAATTATGTGACAATTATCTACACGATAAAACGTACCAGTTATGCTAATACGACAGCTGATACGTAATAATACAATAATTTACACAAATAATACGTAATTAATAATACAGTGTATTATACAAAAATATACGTAATAATAATATTAATATTACGACGTATTATTTAAAATAATACGTAATAGTATCGGTAAACCAACGGATAAATTCCAGAAATTTTTATTGCACTAAATTAATTTATAAATATAAAAACCATTTAAATAAATATAAAACTTAGACTTTAAATCATAGAAAATTCTAGAAAATCGAGAAAAATACAAATACTCTTTTAAAAATCATAATTAAATATTTTAAAATATCAAAAATTTATTTTAACTAGTATCAAAATTTTACGGTCATTACAGTGATACAACACATCTCAAAAAAAAAAATGAAAACAAGGGTGAAAGGAAGAATATTATGCCAAAAATGTAAAGGAAATTGCAAGGTGCAAAGACCAACAACCACATACTAGCAGGCTAGTTCCCATTTTAAAAAGAACACTATAGGGTGTTAAATGCAAAAGAACCCAAAAACCCCAATTTCACTTGTCCACCGATATAAACGCCAAAAATCTCAGCCCCAGATCCATGGAAACTAGATCGAAGAAAAAGAAGATCGCCGGCGAAACCCTAACCTCGCCGGCGACACCCTCCGCCGCCGCCGATCGTCGACCATGGCCCGATCTCCCCCAAGACCTCCTCATCCACGTCTTCCAGCTCCTTTCTTTTTCAATCCCCGATCCCTTCTCTGGCCCTCCTCTCCTCCTCACTCCCCTTCGATTCGACCTCAAAACCCTAACCAATTCCAAATCCTACCAATCTCCACTCCATCCCCAAACCCTAACGGGCAATTGCATCGGATCCTCCTTCGGCCACCTCATCTTCCACGTTGACAACACTATCGTCCTCGCCGATGTCTTCACCGGTCGCAAGATCGAGGCGAAGAATCCCTTTCCTTGTAACTCTAGCTTTCGGATCGGAATCTTGACGGCGCTGCCGTCGGTGGAGTCTTCGACGCTCGTTCTCGTGGGTTCGTCGTTTACTGTTTGCTGGCGGATGAACAGCAATGAGTGGGTTAAGGAGATGTATCTTAGGTATGGGGATGAAGTTTTTTCTTTGGCTATGGTTAATGGCCTTGTTTACTGTCTTGATGGTGGCTATAGAGTCAAAGTTGTGGACTTTGATCATCCTGTGAGTTGGAAGACGATTGAGATGAGGATTGAGTTTCGGAGTAGCCCTTCTCTTTATGGTAATTTTAAGAAGTTTTTGGTTGGGTGTGGCGATGAGGTCCTGTTGGTTCTTTTTGTTCAATCGAGGAAGAAGAAGTGTCAGATTGATGTTTTCCGATTGGATTTCGAGAAAGAGAGGTGGGTTAAGAAGGAAAACTTGGGAGATTGGTGTTTGTTTATTGATGTCGTGAGTAATTCACGGATTGCATGTTTTAATCCTGCACGATGGGGAGGAATGAGCAACTGCGTTTATGTTGTTGGACCTGGCTGTGACATTTGCTCTGTGTTTCCGTTAGATGGTTCGAAGATCAAGACAGTTGATTCTGAATCTGCTTTATGTTCGGCGTACAAGAAGTTGGCTGTTTGGCCCTCCCCTGTTTGGGTTTACCCGAATAAGATTATCTGACGAGGTATAACTATGAAACTTTAATCTTACTGTTTAAAGACATTAGACTTAGTTGTTTTAGTTGTTGCACCTAGATCTTAACATTCTCTTCTCTATTGTTGGAATAATTATTCTGTATTTCATCCGTAGCATACATTAGTTACCATGGTTCTTTTTGGGTATCATTGTGTGTATCGAACCTTACACGATGTTATTTGTGTTTGGCAAAAGTATGGTATAATAATTGCTTTGCTCACTGATTTTGGTAAATTAGTTACCTTATGTATACATAATCATGTTCGTGCGTGTGTGGATGTGCGAGAATGTGAATCCCAGAATGCATCAATAACTTCTTTCCAAAATGGAAACTTATGTGCTTAATGCAGCACATTCTCAAAATTGACACTTGTTAATTTAGATACTTCCAAAAGTTTAATGTCTTCTATTAAAAAAAAGTCTAATGTCTTCATTTTCTCAAGAATTTACATGTATATATCGAGTAATGGCTTCTTGATGAAACTATGGTATTATTTATTATTTTCTTTATTAATTAGGCATAGCAGTTACCAGCTTGTAGGAACATGAAATCCAACACTCGATAGATAGATAGATGGTAAACTAAAAGGACATTCATGCTCATGCCGTTCGTCATGTATATATATTAGGTAGAAGCAACATACCAGATAAACATTTGTCTCTATGCTTTTACATGTATGGTTTTAAAGAATTTTGACATTTGCCTTATTTTAAGTGTATATGGATAATATATAGTTCTACTCCATGTTTCCTAGGTACTTCCAAGATGGAGCTATACCTGTACCCGTCACGTGTTGTACTCGTACCACACACTTCTTGGACACTCCTTAAATATATGCATATACTTATTTAGACCTGTACTCATTTATACAATGCACGTTTAATTTAAAACATTCGTCATACATTTCTTGATTATATATCCTAGACTTCAAATCCATTTTTGTAACTTGTTGGACAAGGGTTGAGTTCGTTTCTGCCTTAAGAGCTACGATTTAATAGGGTTCTTCACATGTATAGCTTAGAACTATTATTATATCCCATGAGTTTCAGCCGTGTTCTTGTACCCTAACTTTTACAAATTTGCGGTATCCCATACCCGTGCCCGCACCCATATCCGTGCAACTTAGGTTCTGCTATAAAGAAGATTTTTATTTATGATTTGAAGTACTTATCTATTGTTCATCAACTTTGGCTCAAAGTGGGCAGCTTTAGCTATCACATTATATGAAATTAGAGCCAATCATATTTTTTTTGAATTTTTTCCCTGGATTATTTTAGTTTAAATTGTTTGGAACTGAAATATTAAGGTAATTGCGGTGAGTTAATTATTTCTTATGGTATATACTTGCAATATATGCGTTGATGTATGTTGAAATAAACAACATTACACCAATCTTGTGACTTGTTTGGTTGGTCTTATGTTTTTTTTTCTTGGATCAAGTTTCTTATTCTTCTTTGGTAAAAAGTATGATGCATAAATTGTCTTGTTACCAGCTTATCTAAACAATCCCGCATTAGATAAATTGATAGTTTATGAGGAGGACATTCTAGATATTATGCTTCCAAACTTAGAAGTTGTTTCCATAATATTCATATTTGACATCTTATGATACGTCACTTACATCTTTTGTTATGCACTCGGCAGTTAACTAACATGCAGAAAGATCACTTGTATGCATGTTTTGAACTGTAGATTTTTACAGAATTGTTATATTCGGGGGTTTATGGCGTATGTTAGATAGATCACGATATTTCATTAAAGAAAAACATTTGTAGATGTGCTTTACTGTACGATTTTGTAGATGTTTTTGTTTGCCAACTGTCATCATTGCGGGCTTGGAAGATTGTGTAAGTTGTCTTCCTCTGGTTTGCAGGGTTGCACGTAAGATATAGGTAATGGGGTACTTGTAGAGATATCTAAGAAATTATTATATGTACCAAAAATTTATGATTTCAAATTTTATTAAATGTGTTCGAGTATGCTTTCAACTGTAGGATCTTGCAGAATTATCATATCTGGGCTTTTATCATGTATTAGTAGTAGATAGTTCAGCAAATAAGAACATTCTTAGAGATGGTTTATGTAGGATTTTTGTAGAATTTTATATTTGACACTTTTCACCATGTTGGAAGATACTTGTATTAATATATATGCACCGAATTTATGATTTTTCATTAAACATTTCCATGTGTATATTTTTTATTATAATGAACACATTCTAACTGTACCTGTTCCAGCTGCTTTTAGTTTTTGGTGGCAATTATATAAACCATGTCACAGTTATTCACATCTTCCTTAATTATATACCACACTATTAGTTCCAAAACACAACTGCATTGCCCTGCTCGCTCTGTTCTCATGTCATATATCTTTGCTATGTATCTCATAAGCTTGCTTTCATCATTTGAAGGATGTATAAGAGGATGTTTGGCAAGTGGTCAAAGCTATTCTGACATGTTTGGCAAATGGATTATTTTGGCCTATGAGCCACCGAAAAAAATAAGGTAGGGTGCCCTAGCTTATTTTTTGGAGGCTTATAATCCACCAAGTTTGACCAAGTAAAAGACTAACATACCCCTCACCATCTCACAAAATTTGAAGCCCCATTTTATCTCTTTCTGACCCCATTAAATACTTTTTGATCATTTTGACAACAATGATGGCTTATAAGCCATCCATTTGCTAAACTCTCCTATTGAAAATGAATTATAATCCACTAAATTTGCCAAACACTCATACTATTGAAAATGAATTATAATCCATCTACTATTGAAAATGAATTATTCTTGTTTGATGTCTTCATATTCTTTAGTTTCGGACTTGACCTTTAGTAATGTTATCACAAATATTTAATTGCTTATCTCCTATTAATCGGTTTGTGTAAATACATTATGTATTTTTTACTCTTGATACTATTGTAAGTTAGAAGTTCATGGTAGTGAAATGCTTATAAGGGAAACGTTACACTTTGTAGTATTAACTTGCAATGTTTGATTTTTTTTTATTTTATTTTATCTTATTTTATTTTATGTTATTGTAGATAGAAGACGCCAATGGAAGCCGAAAACTTGTTGTCTTACAAGAATTCCATTGCTTTTAATAATATGTCAAAAAGGGTCGCCTATTGAGGTCTCCTCCAACAAAACTGTGTAATTTAAATCTATAATAAACAAGATAGCTGTCATTGTGTAGAGATGATTTGGTTGGAACTTTAAAATTCTAGTCCATGAAGAAAGAGAAATTATCCAGTAAATTAACTGTACCATGTCATCCATACATCTTTCTCCGATATATAACCATGTTCGTATGAGAACATAGCATTCCGCTGTTGCTTTACTGTATGAAAGTTTTATTTTAAGCGCATCTATGGTTGTCATTTCTTCTCTTGATTGGAGGGAGTTAATTTGAAGCAATTTATGAGAACTTGGGGGCCTATAGCAATGCCAATGATTTATGGGACTGATCTTCAATAACCTAAGAACTGGGGGACTGACGACTCAATTTTGTTGATGTAAGGGACTAATTTCAAAATATTAAAGATTTAAGAGACTACTGTTGAAAAAACATCTTGAATTAGCATAACATGAGCTGTTTGTGTGATTTTGTTAGCAGACGTTTAGTTTTTGTAATAAACTAATAATTAAGCTTATGACTTTTATTTTACGTGGCTTGGTATGTTAGGTCATGATATGGTCTCTGAGAAATGAATACGATCGATTTATGGTTTTGTGGTTCTTCTTTATTCATTTGTTATTATTTGCATTGGCATAGGGAAATGAATTGTTTACTGTAGTGGTTCTAAAATATGAAGAATCATTCTTTTTAGTAATTTATGCTCATTCTAAAGCTTAACTAACTAAATAGCGGATGAAAAGTAACATGTCATGCCGACATTAAGAATATTTTATGATTTTGTAGAACCTTGATAGTTGCCTGAAAATTTCTATGATTATCTGATCATTATAGGAGTTGCTGTGTTTTTCTCAAGCTTTTCTATGGCCAATGCAAAAGAAATGACTTCCACGCAGAAAGCGTTATGGTTACTTGATTCGAACTGTGGAATACATAATTGCGAGAAATTTATAGAGAATTTCTGAAGTACTGCTTAATCTCTTATGATAATATCCTAGGTTTAATTGCTCGAGATTTTATTATAGCTAGTAGTTTGGATAATGATAGATTATGAGCTTATGCTACGTACTCAATTGTCAAAATATATTATGTTTTACGGTTGCTTGTTCTTGGTTATATACGACTAATTTAGCAAGTGTGTAAGAGTAACTAATAAAATAAGAAATAATCTTATAGCACGGGTATAGCACTACCTAATAAAAATTATTCTTATATAAAGAGACCTGCAACCGCAGGTTGATAGTTCTTTTATTATTTAAAATTGATTTGTTCCACTAAACAAAAATTCCTTTTTAATTTCATACCAATGCGTAGGCTCTAATTCTGATAAAGCTCTTCTTCTAATTAAAATACATAATTAAATTCTTTTAAGATAGTGAAATTGTAATATATGCTGCATGTAAGTGTAAAGTATTTCTTGCATCCATGCCGGAGGACGAGGAGGTTAAGTTAGCGGCCAGAACTCCTATAAAAGGCACCGGAGAGGGTTTAAATAAATATGAGAAACCCAAAATCCCCCAAATTCTACTTTTCCCTCTCAAAATCTAAAAGCTCAAATCCATATCCTCATCCAATCCCCCAGAGATCAAGAAAATGGGAACAAGATCCAAGAAAATCAACGACGACGGCGAA